GGCTCCCCGCTTATGCAAATGAAGCCCGGGAAATTCAAATCCCGGGCTTCATTTGCAAGAGCGGTATGCCTACATTACCCCGCTAGTTCGAACTAGGAGGGTAGTGTAGACATACCCTGGCTGCTCCCAAAATTATCAACCAACTCTAAAATATATTTATTCAGTCTCATGGATCTTGAGAGCTGGAGGGAGTTGGAAAATATTAGGCACAATTTAGATCTATTGTTTTGGAATCTGAAAACTACATTTGCTAGAATAATTCTCACTTTATTTAAAATTCTGAGAGCTGTTTTTTAAATATAATGCTTTTGAAATGTTGGGCAAATGGGCAGTGAATTGTAATCTCCTTTGTAATTTGTTTTATAGACTTTGTGACTTTGAACTCTGAACTGAATGTTTGTATTTAACATCATATTTAGTTGAAGTATTTTTCAATATTTTTCTCAGACATTTATTCACAGAATAAAAATGTATACTTCAATTACATTAAACATTATTTACAGTGAAGGTTATTGGTCTGATGTTGTTTGTTTCAAGGAACGACTTTATATACAAAGAACAAGACCTGTATTTATAAATACACCTAGGGTATGTCTACACTACTACCCTAGTTTGAACTAGGGTGGTTAATGTAGGCATTCGAAGTTGCAAATGAAGCCCAGGATTTAAATATCCTGGGCTTTATTTGCATCTTGCCGGGCGTTACACGCGGCATGCCCGTGGCTACACGCGGCACGAAGTAGGTAGTTCGAATTAGGCTTTCTAATTCAAACTACCGGTACTCCTCATTCCAGATGCAGAATATACATACCATTAGTTATAAAATCTCTGATTGTTTGGCCTTTACTGCAGCAGAAACATAAATTGTATCCATTAACTGAGACAAAAAAACAGTCAGATGCTCAAACGAACTTAAAGGTTGGCTACTCCAGGCACTACAATCATTTAACAAATCAAAGCTATTATTACAGCTAAAGTTGGGTTTAATAGGCAGCTGCTGGATGGAGTTGGTGGCCTGTGATATACTAGAGGCTAGACCAGATAATCTGCTGGTTCTTTCTGGCCGTAAATTATGACTGTGACACAAAATCTTGCAGAAACCAACCATGCCAAATCTAGGGCAGAAGTATCTGCAGTTTCGCCAGCTTCAACTGACACGGATGGTGCAATCAGAAGGATTGTTGACCATACGCAGATTGGGATGGACCTTTGTAAAATCTCAAACAGGAGGAATCCAAATAACCCATTTCTTCCAGAACTCTTGAACTTTTCCAAGGACAGCAAAGAGAATAAATAAAGGATACTTGAAGCAAGTGCCTTCTTCCATCGTCAGATTTTATAATCTCTTCAGAGTTGTCCTAATGCGGGGGGTGGGATAGACAAAAACTGGCCCATGGGGTAGACAAAAACTGGCCCATGGGCCAGATCCATTTCACCCAGGTTAGTCCCTGGTGGGCCTACACACTGCTGTATTTACCTGCACCCTTATTCACCATTCCCAGCTAATGGGAGCTGTGATTGCCCATACCTGTAGAGGTGCAGGTAAATATAGTGGCAACGTCCCACCAGAGGCTAATCCTGGTGAACGGCTGAAGTTTTATTGCCCATCCTTGTCCTAATAAGTATCTCCAATTGATAAGTGAAAACTCTGCAGAGAGGATTGCTATCATCTATTCAGCGTTGTCTTGGCATGTTATGGTGTGGCAAGCCAGATCTGAAGGTCTGTAATACACATGAATCTACATCGCCTCCATTTTCCATATGGTAATGCCCCTTGTGGACACTGGTACAGTGAACTGAAGGCCCAGGAGTGCAGCTTGGCAAGTCAACTGTACTGTAGATTCACAGCCAAGCTTGCAGCACAATAACTTGTAGTATGGCCATAAGGTTGTGACCAACAAATGTGTATTTCAAGTATAACAATATTTTGTTCACTGTAGGAAATGATGCACTATCCTCTTGTTATTTGGAAGTTCTGAAGCATCTTCCCCCAAACCCCATTTCAGCCATAATCTTCACCTTGTAAATCTTCTTAGCGATCAAAAAGTCAAGCTGGGAGAACAACATGTCTATAGAAGAACATTTGTATGACAAGGCCCAATAGCCTTGCAGCACACTACACCCTGCTCCAGGAAAAGCACAGTGAAGTGGCGTCCTCCAAACCTACCTAGAAAAACTACTCAGAAGCAGCCAGTCAGAGCTCATATAAAAGGAGCTGCAGGGCCTTAGTGGGTCAGTCCCTCCTGGTAATTTAGTTTTGTTTTTTCACTGAAACTTTTCAGTGGAAAATTTAAATTTCCCAACCTACTATGCTTTGGGCAGATTGAAGTTTGTATTGGCAGCTGTTGCTGAAAAATATATTAACCATTGGAAAGCATCTTCCCTTGAGAAAGATCCCTAAATACTTTACAAGCTATCCAGAGCTTCTCTGAAATGCTGCCTGTCTTGGGGGTGAAGTCAGCCAGCACAGATCCGTGTGTTTGCCGTGAGAGTGTTCTTGAAGATAAACCTGGAATTGTATTTTTTTTTCACTCTTCAGGGTTTCCTTCCAGTTAAAGCTATGCCCTGGAGATGCTGGTAAAGGCACTAGCGTCCCAAATAGAAAGGGAGAAAGAAGCTGAGCAATTGGCTATATTTGTGTATGTTCACATGACAATTGAAGGAATTCACTATGTGCACAATGTGTTGTCATTACGTAAATGTTGATCAATATTTATAAAGCTAGAAACACCTAAGGCAACCAATCAAATCCTACAAACTGGCTGTGTGAAAATTCAGATGTCTGTTTTACCCTGTAAGCTCTCGGGAATTAGGGCTGTCTCTTACCGTGTACGGTGTCTTAAACACTCAGATCTCAATGTTGTCTGTGACCTCTCAGGGCTACTGTAGGAAAAATAATGTTAATAATGATAACTGTTCCTTTGAAAGTATCAGTATTTTCTTTGCCTTTTTAATCTTATATAATTCCTGAAAATATTCCTGCAGTCTTACACATATCATGTTTGCATGTATGGTGGATACTTTCTAATCGTATATGGTTTTATCTTAGACGGCCTGTCCTGTTATTTTCAATAAAGTAAGAATACTTGAAGAAAGAGTCCTTATTACCAGACAATACTTCTGTTGCTTCTTATCCTGTTCATTTGCCTTTCATTTCTCTTGTATTTTACCTTGGGCCTTTTGCTGTGGTAATTTTGTAACTGACTTGTTATGTTATATTATTTTGTGCCTTTTCTTTTTGCATATAACTATAAAAAACCCTGACTCAAGCTGTCTTTTCCTTTTATGGTAACAACTTTTTGTAGAAATCTGTGAAATTCTGCACATCTGACACACACTAGAGATTGCCGCTTACTAAATGGCTCTTGAAGCCATATGTAAGGGTACGTCTAGACTACATACCTCTGTCGCCAGAGGCATGTAGATTAGGCTACCAGACATCGTAAAATGGAGCGGCAATTTAAATAATCGCCGCTTCATTTAAATTTACATGGCTGCCGCGCTGAGCCGACAAACAGCTAATCAGCTGTTTGTCG